ATTTCAGTAATATCACGTCTGGTCTTTGTTTGACAATTAAGCTTCGCTAGGGATCTGAAAACTTGCAAAATATTGTAGAGGTGTTCATGCAGTCATTAGGATATACAGTATTCAGCATTATACAGCTATTATGTAAGAACAGGAGACTCCTACCTAACTGCATTTTCTAGGAAAGGACAAAGTGTGATGATGATGATGATGATAACTATATGTGCAGATGTTCAATAAATGTAAATGTTATTAGCATTAATTTACCTACCTACATTAAAATATCTAAATAAATCAAAAACTATGTTCGGCGATGATGTAGTTTCGGTCAATTTACCGGTCCCGGTGTATGGTTTGCAAAACACATATAAAAACTTTGCCAAATCATGAATGTGTCTGTAGCAAAGCCAGTGTAACGACCTTGTCTCGTCCACCTATGACACGGAAGGACGTGCCAATTGCACGATTCTAAAATGGCCGCCTATTCTATAGTCTCCTGTTGCAATTTGATGTAAGAGTAACAACAATTCTAGGATATTACGTGAAATTACGTCTGTCGAATGTCGATAGATTATGTAAAAGTATGAAAAGGAAGTAGGTGACTAAGAAAATCATGTTCAGTTTGTCAATAAATTTGTAGATAAAGGTACCTACCTACCTTACCTAGCAAGCTTGGATTTACATTAACTTTGGAATAAACAAATCCGATTGTTTCATCAAAATTACGTTTTTGTTTTGTTCTCTTTTAGATCCCTCGTTTTATCGAGGTCTTTGCCAGGTCCAATCTGTAATTCAAATCGTGAAATGACGGAGTTGCCAGCCATTGCAATCAAGTTCTACAACTTATTTTTTCCACACATTTACAGTGCAAGGTCTGTGCTATGTTAGAATGATTTGTTGAACTCATTTTGCGTTCCACATCTGTTGTTATTTCTTTTATTTCAACGCACGCTAACCTATCATTTATCTACGACTACGTTACTTAATTATAATATATGTTTCAGCAAAAAACTATGTCGGAATTACGCCATCTTTTTCTAACGTCCTGTTTACGTAGATTAAAATAAAAGAACATTAATTACTTCTGGATCTTTAATGTAGTACTTCATGTATGCTTTTCCACAAGTTTTTGCAAATGAGAGAACTAAGTAACTGCATTTACAGTATTATAATTACATAAGTTTAAATGCCATACGTATTAAAGTAGAGCAGTTTAATAGCTTAGCAGTAATTTTCTTGTAGATATTTATTCTGAATTCGTTGGGTATTTAAATGGAGTTTGAAAATGTAGTACCTATATTATTGTTTTATTCCCAGCCCAGAATATTTATTCAGTACGTGTTGCCTAGATGTTGCTGATGTTAAGCGCTGCATGACTTTTTATGCTAAGTTAGTGAGAACCTCCGTTGAATAACGTGACATGATTGATGACAGAATGTGTTTACTGTAGTGTCAATCAATGGTTAGGTAGATGTTTACGAACTCATTCGAAGAAGAGCTTGTCAATGTGTCAACCGCAGAATCCACCTGACAAATCGCTACAGAACTTTCGACCTTATTTAAATACATATTGACTGTTTTATGTTCAGTTTTGCCTTCACACCGATTTTTGGATAAAGAATACCTACCATGTTCATAGTCATGCTGTATCATGTCCCTCGTAAACCGTAAAGGTCAGTTGTAAATTATAATTCCATATGTAATTACAGCCTTTAAAACTACACATGGTTTTACGAGATGGAATGGGTCAAATATATACATGTGTGTACTACCTGCCTACCTACATACTTGTTACAGCAATTTCATAGAAACGAGCTTAAAAAAGGTTACAAATACAACTTTTGAACCAGAAAGTAATTAATTTTAAAAAAGAATAAGAAAAAAATATTGATGATCAAATAAACTTTGCCATGAAAATCTATTTTATGACAGAGATTATAGTAATTTGAATATCATAAATGGAAACGACATCTTTCCTTTATGGTAGCGATGTCATTCGTTTTTTTTTTAATGAAACCTGATAAAATATTGCCTCAACAAAAAATATTGCTAGAGTGTTAACGATGCCGCCTTTGATTGAATATCGTTTTTTACATTTCAATATTTCTTGCTGCTACATTTGCATTGGATATTGCTTCTAAAGGCATTACGGCAGTCACGATGTAAACACGTATACAAAACTGTAACTTTGATGTATTTTTAAACATTTGTTTTGGACTAAATATTTATTTTCGGAGAAGAAGAAATAGATTTATTTTTACGATACGTTTGTACGGTATCACGAAGTTAGACACGCATCTTATTTAATTGTGTCTATTCTTATGAAACGTAGGCTTTTTTCTGATTCAAAGTATAATTTGCTTTGAGTAGGTACCTACTGCTGATTTATACATTTGTAGGCAGTTGGTTTGGACGCGTTTACAAATTGCATGCATTAACCCAGATTTAAGTTATGTAGATTTATACGTACAATAATTGAACTGACGCCTAGATATGGATTCCAGCCAAATACCTGGCATATCTAGTTTGGGAATAATTGAAATCTCTCGTGAGTGTATCGATTGATGTCTCCTCTCACTGAGACACCTTTTAACGGGATGGGTAACGGACTTTTAGTACGGTAGGAATCGTCAAATTTTACTATGGTACTCAATTCTAAAGGTTATGGCCATGTGTGAGCTAAACTTTCCCACGACATCCATTACATTTTAGCGTAAAATATACGAGTTTCCATAATTTGAGTAAACAATGAATAAGATATAATGGAATAAGAATCCCATAGCAATAACTTTTAGTGCGTATTCAATTTTAAAAGTTGTAAATGTTTATATTGTTTTCTACAACGTAAACTGTTTTCTTTTATTTTTCAAACGATACTTAGATATCTGATAGATATTGAATGACGATGGAAGTGAAAATGCAGCCCCAGATGTCGACCATTATGGTTAAGCCATAAAGATTATTTTCGCTTTTATAACACATTCGTTCTATCTCCGTAAGTTATGGCCCAATAATCCATCAAATAAATACTCAATGATAATATTGGTATCGTAAAACGTTGATGGAATAGTTAAATAAGTACTTTTACCTTCACCTCTAAAAGAAATTCAATGTTTTCTCGAGGAAAAAAAGCGGTGTCTACGTGCTCCGTTTCTGGCGTGGCGCAATAAGCCCCTCCAGAATATCAAGTACAGCAATAGACAGCTTGTTTGTATTTTAAACGTGATCTTCAAGAAAGTCACTCGAGTGGAAATTGACGATGGTAATTTTGACGAGAGCGTGCTTATTATATTCCTTATCATTATCATTTTTGCAGCAACTTAGCATAAGGACGGTTTTAGTTATGCGCATTATACTTGAGCTATTACTCATCTGTTCGCAACACCCACGCATATTTTTCTAACGCGAGGCAACGACTTTAGACCTTCGCCGTGGCCTTTCTAGATTAATTAACCAGCAACAAGTCTGTTATACCGACGGTATAAAAATAAACCTCGGTATGTTTATCGGTAGGCTCGTAGACGGCGCGTCGCGTACATGATTACCGTGACAAATTGAATAACGAACTCGTAGTATAGGTGGCTGTAGCTTCAGCTCAGTGTTTGAATGGTACGCCTTGATGCCCCCAGCAAATCGCAGTACAATGACCCGGTTCCCGTATCCCCGCTGGGCTACATGTATGGATTGTATGGGTACCATACCCGAGTATGTGCACATTGATACGTATTATATGTAGAGAGGAAATAGCTCTGTGTATGATGCCGACATAAAACTTTATTCGTTTTGCTTTTTCGTAACAATAGTAGTAAGTACTTAAGTACCTACATATTTACGTATTAAATACTTCCACTTCTGTTATGGAATTTTACGTTATTGTTAACTGCATTGGTATTAATTTCCCATCTTATGTTTGTACACGATTGATGATATCATTCGATTACAGAAGTGGGTGGGTGGAACCAAGTGTTGTATATTTGTAATATATTGGCATTCTTGCTAAATCTACAGCTGATAACGTATCAAGACCGAGTGGCCAACACTCTAACATCAACAGCCGTATGTTGAAGTGTGAGCAATCACATCAATGTTATCGGTCGACGTTTCGAATACTAATACAATAAAATCTGATATTTTCTATTCTAGATATTACTGTTCCAGACGATTTCCACGAAGGCATTGTACCAATAAAATAATTTTACTGCCTTTTGTCACGAATATCGAGTATTATACCTCCATGGGAAGATATTTCTTTCTGAAACCCTGACGCAAAACGTTTGATTGCACCTAGATAGCATGAATAGACGAGGCCGAGTGGAGGCCCGGTCATGAGAACAATTCTGTACTCTGTAGCCGCTACACAATACGGCGATAGGTTTTGCTCATTGTTGTTCGTTTCACCATTTGATATTCTTATACCTAACTTTTTACCGAAACCACTTCTCAGCTTTTATGTAGTTGAATGCCTTGTACTACAAGTACTCAACGTTGTCGGACATGTATTTTTACGGAAACAAACGCAAAGTGAAGCCATAAACCTGTGTTAAAGCCGTGAACCTTGTTACATGCTAAGCTGTTGTTTGTATAAAATATTTTGCATCGCGATTGCATTTATTCGTGCCATCATAATATTCTATAGATGTTTATATGTACTGAGTATTGTTCGTATAACAGTTATTTCAGAATAGACAGTAGTTGAATAGGCGACAGCAGGAACAATAGCAATAAGCTCCCTCGAGATTGCGCCAGTGCAGCCGTGCCCAAGGGCCGGCGCACAATAGATGCCAGTCCGCAATACCACTGCACCGAACTGATTACTACGCTCCGATCGCTTCACCAACCAACATTCATTACTCAAAGTCTTTTTGTTTTGTTACAGAACATGTGATATTAAGTTGCCATGGAAGAGGAGTGCACAGCCTGCCCCGGTGAGGCCGGCCAGCTGACGGTCGACACACAGACAACTGACGATGTTCCTAGCACTGAAACAAAGCCCGAAGGAGACAACCTCGCCACTAGTGTTGTAAATATAGATAATAAAGACGGAAGTGATGATAACAAGAATAAATGTAATGGTGAAAACAAAGTGAAAATAAAAAAGAAGAGTGTAAAGTTAGTGTTGAGACAGTCAATACAGAAGGCAAGTGCGGCACGCCACTGGCCAAGGAACCTTTCATTGAGCAAGAGCCTATCGAACCGAATGATGATGCAAGGTCGTTGGGTGACCTAGATAGCTTGCCAGCAGGAGACGAACTTGCTCTTGGCGCTGCTGGCAGTGACAGCGGAGTAGAAGGATGTGGTCGTGCGCTCTCTAGTGGTGGTGGGTCCAGGTCGTGCGCCTCTAGTGTAGTCTCGTGTGGCTCTGGTTGCGGTTCTGAAAGCTCGTCACTTGCCGGCGCACCGCCGCGTCCACGACGGCGCGTCAATGTCAACGTCGCTGAGCCGAAACGAAGCTCACCTGTCAGCTCGGCAGCGCCACGACCCATAACGGCGCCACGCGGCCCCAACCTGGCCACCCGTGAACGTGCTAGGAGTCGAGAGAAACCAACACCACCCGAAAAGCCGCGACCGCTGACACCTAAACCAAGAATCCGGCCTACAGCTGACTTGCCAAATCTCGTACGTGAGAGCCCTGCGTTACGTGCAAAGCCTACCAAAACCTCGACAGCACGGTGCCGGACACCGAACTCGCCGAGCGAAGAGAAAAGATGGCCAGCGAATGGACCGCGGTTGACGACAGTAGCCGATGTTAACACCACAAGAGCTACAGCCGATAAATATGCGACACTTCCTCGTAGGAGACGTGATGCAGAACCTGATAGCTCTCCTAAACACGAGGGCACTCCTCCATCGTCACGACGTCCTACCGTCACACGATCAGCTTCTTCACGCACCACCATCAAGACGCGGGTACGCATCTACGCAGAGAAAACCTCGCAGACAGTGCTGAACGGCAACGATATCGAGTCGGCACTGGCGGGGATTGTGCCAAATATTGAAAAGTAAGTTGCTTACTAAATATGCGAAAAGCTTTTTCAAATCTTTAAAATGATGTTGGTTTGGTTAAACCAAGGACGAGCCTAATTACTGAAGATTTTGCATGCAAAAATGTTGTGCCTATTGTATTGAGAAAAAATGTGTTTCCATTTTCCAGTCATGTAGAAGTATCCCGCTGTCACCGAGGCGTGCAGGCGAGCGCGCGGGATACTGAAGCGGCACGGCTGGCGAATGCCCTGGCGGCCGCGGCGGAGGAGCGGGAGCGGCGACAGCGGGCCGAGGCACAACTGGCAGCGGAGCGGGCCGCTCGCCTCGCTGCCATCGCGGAGCTGGACCGCAACTCACAGAGGCTGTTAGAACTCGCCGGCGCTGGTAAGTGCCTATAGCAATCTTTGTGTAAAAGCTTTGCTCTTGTCTGACTTGTTTGTAAAGAATAGAGCTAGGACCTTTGAAATATATTTTCTTTTCGTTTTAATTATGGAATTCTGTTCATTAACTAGTAAATCTGAATTATAAATTAACCACAAACAAACTTATGTATTAGCCTTTCTGAGTTTGATATTGGGACCTATGTTAAGGAGTACAGAAGTAGATCATAGTCCTTACTAAAACATACAGCGATATGCTTGTAAGTACATAGTATATTAATGTCATTTGGCTTTTGTGTAAATAACAATGCTCATGTGACATTACACATCACAAAGGCCTTTAAGCAGCAAGTCTTAAATGTTGCATTATTTTGTGCTCACTTTGTATTGAAACTGGGTCGTATATTAATCAAAACTAACGTATGTTTTATATTTGGGATAAAGATACTGAAAAAATGTAAACGCAACAGACTAGGAAAATATTACAGCAAGTATTGGTGCTACGCTAGCTGTTAATAAGGAAAATATATTAAATCAAAACCTCCATAAAACGGTCTGCATAATTAACATTAAACTGTGCAGTTGTAGTCCATAATCCATGTAACCAGGAATAGATTATAACTTGCGTGCGGTAAACAGGAGCGAAATCTGACCTCGTTCAATTAAATACGTTCATCAACATCCCGTAGCAGTCCACTGCTAGAATATCTCCCGAATATTAAAAGGCTACTCGATATTTAGTTGTATTTAAATATCGTGCTGTCTCTGTCATTTTACAAAGAATTTGTAGTGACAGAACTATACATAAGCGCTACTTAAAATTGGGTAGTTTCCAGGGTATCAAAATTAAAAATCTAATTAGTCAGTTAGATAATGAAAAAATATTAGACACGTTTTTTTTATTTTCTCGTATTAAGTTGCAATACTTAAAAAAAACCGCTTACGTAGTTACCTACTTAGAGTGGGAGGTCGTTACGTTATATCGTGCTACAAAATGTGACACGCTGTGACGTCACACGATATTTCAAATTAATATATTATCGTCGAAAGTATTTCATTTTGTGAGAAAAGAAAAAATACGTTGTTGAAGTTTAAATTTAATGTACCAGACGGCCATTAAGATATTAAAATTAAATTAGGAAAATACCCTATTAAGAGACGTTTGTGTATTTCTACATGTTATATGAGTTGGAATTGGAGATCGGAGTTTAAAAGGTTCAGCTATTTTTTTTAACGTTGCCCCACACACCCAGACCTGAAGCAACAATCTGTGGATAACATAAAGACTAGTTCCGTGCGGCGTGGGAATAGAATCCGCGACACGTTGCGCGACGGTCAGTTGCCCAGCGACCGCACCATCGTGCAGTCAGTGCAGCTTTATCATAGCACACTGGAGCCCTGTGTCCGTGAAAAAGTGTAGTCCATCCATTTGTTGGGGCTCATGGCAACCCGCGGGAAGATTGGGGTTGGTGTCGTTACTACATATCTACTTAATTTGTTCACAACTTCAAATTACGATCACATTTGTTGACCTCAGTTAAATAAGGTCGGTGGGTTCAACATACAGCTTACAAGTTTTTGACTCCGATCAATGTCGGTTCAATTCGCGCGCTAATTAATATACGACCTCTTTATATGTCATGGTGATTGCGGATACACAAATCTGGAAATTGTAATTATATGTATTTTAATTGGTTTTTAAACAGTATTTTCGATATTTTTTGCTGTATTTTAAGGTTGGTTAATTAAGACTTTTAATGCGATTGAAAGGTAAAATGTCCCTTAACACTTTGGATGCAGTGTCGGACAATGATATCGATGCCGACGCTAGCGGAGGATTGGCCTTTAACAGTTTTTGTCGGCAGTTAAAGTCAGGGTGCAAAATGTTATAGGACTCGTTCGATATGTTTTCGACTGTAGTATATAGTGACCAGATTGGCGATATATTAAAGAAGGGCCAAATTAAAAGTACCCTTAACCGACGAGCATGCATGAAAAGATTGATGACTGTTAATGAAGCGAATGTAAGAATCGTAGTAATTGGGGTTCCTTAGTCTCTGCCTACCCCATGGAAGACAGGCGTGAAGTTATGTATGTATGTATGTATCTAAAATCATAAAATCCCTGGTCCAAATTTCACCTCAAACCGATCAACTTTTTTGACGTGAAAGAGTAACAAAAACACACACACACACACACACACACACACACACGTCCTCAAAAACTTTCGCACTTATAATAAAAGGTATAGGCACTGAAGATTTTTTACAAGGTTACAAGTTTTGATAAAACGTTTATCAGAATATCGCACCACCTGAATAAATATTATTCTTAAAGTTTTCATTGATATAGTCATATAGTATATCGGATGTTTAAAAGCTAAAGTTTAGGTAAGACTAAAGTGATTTGAAAACAAATATCAGTCGTAGGATTGTAAGGATATTTATTTCAAAAAATTAGTCTTGGAATAAACAAAAACGTTTATTAGCGCTTCAGAGAATTAACACAGTCTCTCAATACCTCTATACTTGGAAACATAACACCACGTGAGAACAGACTTGACAATTAATAATGACTTGTTTAATACGAACAAATTCAAAGTTTAACAAAAACAAAACCACAATAATGATAAATGAGAATATATTATGGAGGTTATTATATTTCGGCCGTTAGTGGTCATTAGTGCTCAACTATAACTAAATAACGTTTAATTCTGTCTCCACCAGGCGCTGGCGCTGGGGCTGACGGCTGTCTCCGCGCGCTGGAGGAACAACTGCGCTCTGCAGGCGAGCTGGCGGCCAGGCAGAGTGCAGAGATAGACGCACTGCGGGAACAGTGCAATAAGCTCCACGTCGTAAGTATTTTTTCACCTTACGCAGTAAGTTAAAAAAATCCTTATGCTCCTTACGTATATAACTTCTCACTATTTCAAAACTATAATGACAACACCAAATTATCCTTCCTTATTTTAAAGTGAAACCTAATAATGTTTTTAATTATGATGTGAGGAGTTTGACTACGTGGGTCGTTACTTGACTCGTATCAAGCCACGCCGGGGCTGTAAACTGTAACTGTAAACAATAGGTACATCTTACATGCAAAATAATGGTGTTTGTGTACAGGAGGCGTGCAGCGCCCGCGAGAGTGCCCGACTGGCCGAGGCTCGGCTGGGCGAGGCGGAGCGCGAGGCGGCCGAGATGCAGGACTTCCTCGCCGCAGAGACTGGCGCACTCAGCGACTCACTGCGAGACGCAGAGACTGAACTCGCCAGGGTCAATGCAGATCTAGAACGAAGGTAAAATTATTACACAATGTTAAGAAAATTTTAAGAAGTTATGTAGCAACTTGGTAATGTTTATATGCAGTGTGAGAAGTGGATATAATCTTCGAGCTGCTACGATTCAACCCTTTATTTTCAGAAATAATCAGGAGGTTTTGTTTTGTTAATAGGCGCGCGGAGTGTCGTCAGTTGGTGCGCATGTGCGAGCAGCGCCGCCAGGAGACGCTGGCGGCGGCGGCGCGCGGCCGCGGCGGCGCGCGGGCCCTCGCCGCACTCGACGCGCTCGGGCACCGCCTGGCACGCCTCACGCGCGCCGTGCGCCTCGCATACACGCTGCCGCCCGACCAGGAGCCCACCGTCTACCACAACGAACTATACAGGTACTTCATACTCGGACCTCGTAACTTACAATTTACAATAGTATCGAACAACACCAACATAACTATGTTAGAAATGACAGTGCGTTATAAAGCGAACTTTGAGTGATTACAATGTATGTTCCAATGCCAGTCGCAGCGACAGCGGCGAGGCGCTGTCTCCCGAGGAGGAGGCGGCGGGCGGCGGCGGCGGCGGCGGCGGCGGCCTGCTGGCCAACGTGGCGCGCGCCCTGCGCCACGCCGCGCCCGCGCCGCGGGACGATGACCGCTCGCATATGTCTGACGAGAATGACAACTCCGCCGACTTACTCGACTCCGAGACCGAGCCGTGCCTTGTTACTGATCCTGGTAATATTTTAATATCATTTTTAAAATTTGAACATTCAAGTTTGTTTTATGGCGTCGTGATAATTTGTGTTTTGTTTTATTTAGAATGTGCTGAAGAATGGTGGTCAGGCGCAGAGGGTGCCGGTGCGTGGAGCGGTGACGAGTTGTCACCTGAGAGAGATTTTTATGTGGACGATAAAGGTAAACGATTATTATAAATGAAGCTTTCGTGTTTTATGATATGATATAAGCAAGTGTGTACTCGTTTACGATCATCGCTTTACTTTTGTAGAACATTTGCGAAATCGTGCGATATCGGTCGCAGAAAATGTTGGAGCTTTTCTTCCACGATTGACGTACGATTGGTGCTTTACAGAGCCGGAGTCTGCGTCAGTGTCGGAGCGCGAGTCGCTGCGCGCGCTGTCGGCGGCCATCACAGCGCGGCGGTGCGAGGAGACGTCTGGGCGCGCGCGCGGCGCCGTGCTGTCGCGCGCGCTGTGGCTGGACGCGCGGCTGGCGGCGCTGCTGCGCGCGCTGGCGCAGGCCGCCGCCGCCGCCGCCGGGGACCCGCACGCAGAGAGACTCGCCGCCGTACTACGGTCCGTACCACTTATGACTACTCTACCCTGCAATCACAATTCTCAATTACTAGCTCGACAAACTGCGTTTCCATCTACATTTGGCTAACTACCTCTTACAATCGTAATCTAAGTCCCTTTGCATCTGTTTCACTGCGTTCATTTCAATCTCAATTGTAAAATATTGAAAAATTACCTTTCCTATACTTCTTTATCCATTTTAACCCATACCCCCATACTTCTTACTACTACCTCAATGTTACAATATTCATAGTTACTCCATTTTTTGCTCCAAATGACTTACATCCTCTATAACCACATAATATATTTAATCAAAATACATGTATAACGCTGCTAAATCCTTACTCCATTCATATCAACCCCGTATCGCTATTTACAGAGAGAAAATTGACATCACAGAAAAGAACGTAGCAGATGTAGTTGTGAAAAAGCTAGCCGAGTTGGACGCCAGTAAGAATATGATGGACCAGTACAGGCAGTCCGTTGATGTGAGTATATATTACTTTTATATATAGTCCCTTGTTATTCTAGGAAAGAAATGAAATAAGCCAAGTTATTTGCTATGCAGTAAGAAAATGACTAAACAATTTCTATTATTACTGTCTCTGCAATAAATTATTCTATATGTTCTGACCAGAACAATTAACTTGTTGCTTCTTGTTTCATTTCTTACCAGAATAAATAATTTGTACAATTAAAGTGACAGGTGAACTACAGATGCAAAGATTCGCATCTTACTACATGCCGATAGGAAATACATACATTTGACATCAAAAATTTAATATTTTATTATTTGTTTGCATTTGGTATATATTACCTATATGAATTGGATAGGCTGAATAATTTGTCGAAAAAAGTACTTAGATATACTTATATAAAAAAATATTGTTGTTCTTTTTTTACTCTAACTAACCTCCTTATGGGTACGTATAATAACACGCTGTCGTTTGATAAAATAAAAGCACGTTGTTGTTGCTGATATACGCATTTATTTATTATGTTCTGTATTATTCATAAAATATCTATAGTGTGACAGAATCATATAAATTCATGTCAATATTTGAAAAGGTCAATGTACTTGTGCTTCGTAAACAGTCGTTACTATAACATATCAGACAGGACCTTTTCACTAGAGGCGCCATCTGGGGTGTGCAAAAATAAATTAAACAATTTCTATAGATAAGTAATTTTATACATGAGTACATTGATCCATCAAAGTATAGGTAATTTATATTATTATTTTAAGTATGAAATTATTAATTTTATTTACGTAATTCGTCTATTTATTATATTATGCAACAATTTACACACAGATTTTGTTAGTACCGTTAACAAATTTAATATGAAACAGGTATTTACACCATTCAGGCCCTGCTTGGCGATCTCGAGTCAAGAATAAGGCGCCAAGGTTAATAAAATACATTTCAACTAAAGTACGCTGAACGCCTGCGTCACTGCTTATACATAAATAGATGCACAGCGTCTTATGTTCTCTCCCCTAATACATATGTAGGTATATTATGTATATTTATGAGAATTATATGTACATTTATTTACCCACAATAAAGCCTACTTTGACAACTTATAAATAGTAATTTAAGACCATTAAAAGTATAATTTCAATTATTAGCGTGTACTGTAAAAGTCATAACTGGCGTGTTATATTAATATGTGCACCTCTACCTAGCCCTAGTGTTACTTGTAAATGTTGTCTTGTAGACTATATTGTATCGCACGCAATACCTATTATTGTTATTACACACATTCTTACTAAGATGCCTACATAAAGTGTAGGTGTTCTAGGAGAGAACGTACGGACTGTACAATACTTGGCTTACAGCTGCAGCGTTGATGCGACTACAAGCACTACTGTACATACACACCGGCAGACCTGTATTGTTAACATTTTGCTACTTCCAACATACCTATTACTAATACAAATGTTATTTTAAAATATTAGAAAAATTCTAGCGATTTATTTGCATTACCATCTGCAGTTATTTTATAAGCATTGAGTGGGTTATGTCGTTCATTAATGTAATGATTGTTGTTTCTGGATTTCAGCCGCTCAAGAAGCATCTGGTACAAGCCGATGAGGAGGATGATATAGAAGCCCTTGAGGAGGTATGTAGGTTTATTGTTTGTAATAAAATTGGAAAAACTATTGAAAATGATTGAGTTTAGATTGGGATTTTATTTATTTATTTATTTATTTATTTAATAGGTACACAAAACAGAAACACAGCGAAATACACAACAGAATAACAATAACAAACTGTAAATGGCAGACCATGCTTCCACAAGTATGTGCACACAACATGACATGCAACGACTAGTATTTATTTATTAATAATTATTTACAATGAACTATAATCCAGAACAAAATTAGAGATAATTTGTAATAATAAGGAGAATTAAGAACGAAATTAAACAATAGATACATTATTCAATGTTCAATATTGTCCTCATCATCGGACCGACCAAATAACAATTTCTTAATAATATTCTTAAATTTGTGAAGCGAAGTATTGTGGATATCAGGCACGCCCATGTCACTCGAGAGTAGCTCGTTGTACTTGCGACACATCCGTGCGACACATCATTTGCTTTTGATAAGCGTGTTAACACGGTACGCGTATTGCAGGAGCTGTCTGCGTGCAGTGAGAGCGAGCGGCGCGCGCTGTACGTGTCGCTGGACGCGGCGCTGAGTGCGCTGGGCGCCGCGCCCGCGCGCTGCCCGCGCCTGGCCGCGCAGCGCGCGCGCCTCGAGCGCCTCGCCTTCGCCCTGGCCGCGCCCCCGCGCCCCCGCCCGACGCGGCGCCCGCCGCGCCCCCCGCGCCCCCGACTACGCTGGCGCCCCTGCAGAGCACAGCATAACGCGCACACACCTCGCATTGCTCAATTACACGCAGAGTCGACTGACATGCCATTAATCCCATATAGGATATTAGCTGTTAGTGTCAGGCTCTGATCAATTATTTTGAGCTTCCCCCTTTACATAAGTTACTGTTATGCTCTCACCGCACGTGCGACCCTCGTGACCCCTGATAATACTTCCATTTTGTCATATATTGTAGCTAAGGATAGTAAGAGACTAGTGTTCATCGATTGTAATGTATTGCGGAGCTTATGTGTGCCCTCCGCGGAAGTAAGTACGTCATCCGTCCTGCTTAGTCTGTGACTAGAATATAGTAGGACCGACGTGCACAAACAACGTTGTAAACTTAGATATTTGCTCTAAAATTAGGCGTAGAATGGTTATTGTTGAAAAACGGTCTAGTCGGGAAATTAATAAGGCAAGTTTGCGTATTCAATTACTATTATTGTCTAACTCTAATGCTGTACTAGCCATTTTACACAAGTGTGGTCCTTGTATTTGACGACAAAGTAGGAATGTTTAAGCAATTACGTGAAATTGTGTGTTAATCATGTTCGATGGATCTCAATTCGCAAGGAAACTTTCTCCAGAAATTATTGATTCCACTAACAATGCAATGATCAAGTGTTTGATTGTAGAACAATGTAGTGTCATATTGTATACTTACTCACTTCGATTCTGTACAATTATTAGAATAAGCATTAACATTTTCATTCCTAATTGCATTTAACGTTTCGTCTCAATTCTTCATTGCGATGACATTGTATGGTTTGAAATGAAATTTACTAATTTGTAAGTTGTAACTTTTGTAATGTTTTGTCCGTGTAGTCTAAGTATTATTTTGTTATCATGTTTACATGCCGCACTGCGAGCTAACTATATTACTGTATGCATCGCGTCCACTTCGATGTCATCCGTTCCCATATAATAACTAAAGTATTTTAAGTGCCATTAGTGTTAGCTCTTGTTGTATGTAGCTGATCTTGGGTCTAATCTACGATTCGCATAAGCCAAACCTATAATTATGTTACGTCACAAAAATCGAGTAATCTACGTCACATTACTCCCACCTCTATGAACTTAATGCACACGTAACTGTATCACTTGTACAGCATTTGTATCAATGCTATGCAAGTCATGCAAGTTGCGACGTAATGTATAAATTATCAACCAAACATCGCAGAAATTATAATTTTTCTATACATATTATATTAAAAATGTAAATAAAATGGATGGTACACAAATATATCACAATATTTATTTTTCTGATCTAGTCAATAACATTCGATATTTTAATTCGATTTACAATTAAATAACTATCAGAAATCTTATTGTCTTGTATTAAATAATTATAGCAATGTAGTTCGATGCAAACCAAATTAAGAATACAATATGTTATGTTGCCTTCATCGATTATATTTAGGTGACTATATCAAGACAATTAGTTTAAACTACGTAATGTCCTACTACATACAGTTTGTAAATCAAAACGCGTTGCAAGTTTGACAAAATTGTAACAAATGAGACTGATATTGTATTTACGTTGAACGAGATGAAGGTCGTGTTGAAGTTTGGTAAAATGAGTGTTAAGACATTGTTTTAGATAAATGACTTATTGCGTAAATTCTTAAATATATGGCACATTTACTGTATCAAATAATATGTGGTATACTGCAAACGCTTCTATGTAAATAGTACAAAATCATTTAAATCGCTTCGTCCATCCACGTCGCTTGCTTCAGGTGCTAATGATACGTAATCATTAGGTATATACTTAACAAATTGTTGACAGAATTTATTCCAACACCCCAACTGCCCAAGTCAGTGGAATATATCATAGGTGAACTTGAATTTATTTTGAATTAAATCGAAAAATTATGCGATGTAAATACATTAGGGTATGTAAATATAAATAAATTTATTGAAAGTAACTTGTGGTTTTATTTTATAAAATAAATCTTGTAAGTACATTATAATTATCACAACCGATGCTATAGTCTGGTGTAACTTATTATACGGGCCTTGTGGAATCTATGTCCGTTTAGGCGCTTTTGGCATACCTATTATTGGAAGCAAGTATAACAGCCAGCACATAGGACCCACTTAGTTCTTGGCGACTGAGCTTCTCCCAGTTGCATAGTCCCTTTTTGTGTCTGTCTCCTGCAGTAATTCACCGAGGGAAGTGGAAACTTCTGATTCACTTCGTTGTGGGAACCAAGACAGTTATTGACAGCAATAAAGATATTTTAATGTATTCATGTCCCTGGAACGCGCCGGACTTCAGTGTTTCGATGTTTTCGTGGTTGTATCTACTGTAGATCCTGGCTGACAGGAGTTGTGGCGGGCTGTCCCATTAAAAAAACCGATGTTTTCGAAATCTACCAAAAATACCAAAACAATGTTGTTTCTCAGATTTCATACAATGTCTTATACTATAGGGTTTAAGGGGGGACAATCATCGAATGACTGCTCCCGTCTGGGTGAGGCGGAAGGGAGTGTCAACTCTTACTGACTAAAAACCACCCCGTTCCTTCTCCTGCACGTCGGGGCCCCGGTTACCCGTTAGAAGGGTAGGGTTCGAAATTTTCGTATTTCTATAACCTATATGTGAGTACGTGAATTTAAGCGTCTACTCCGTACGTCTAGACGTACGTTCTCTCCTCCTCTTTCTGATACACCTCTTACTACGTTATGAGGTCTTTTCAACCGACTTCAAAAAAAGGAGGAGGTTCTCAATTCGACTGTATTTTTTTTATGTTTGTTACTCGATTACTCGAAGACGCCTGGACCGATTTTAAAAATTCTTTTTTTGTTTGAAAGGGTTTTTTAAGGGGGGAAAAATCATCGAATGACTGCTCCCGCCTGGGTGAGGCGGAAGGGAGTGTCAGACTCTTACTGACTAAAAACCACCCCGTTCCTTCTCCTGCACGTCGAGCCGGAGCCCCGGTTACCCGTTAGGTTCTCCGCGACTGTTTGAAAGGGTAGATTTGTCATTTGGTCCCATTGTCATGAAGTCCGGATCTAATGATGGAATCCCAGGGGAACCGGGGGGAACTTTTAAAAATTATGGGGGAGACTAGTGCATTTGTTATTTTTTTCGTTAAGTATTTAAAACCACTACAATCTGAACTTTATGGTCTGCAGCTGATCTAATGATGGAGCCGATAGGCAGTCGAGGGAACTCCTCAACGGTTAACAGTAGCTACATTGTGTTTGGGTTTGATTAATTTGTATTGATGAGGACTTTATACTTAGGTGGTATGTGACTGCCACTAAGGGTCTGATGATGTACTACCATAGTTGAGGGAACTCCTCAACGGTTAACAGTAGCTATCTTGTGTATAGGTTTGATTAATTTGTATTGACTTTATACCTACACTTTCGAGTGTCCTCCAACACTTTCGAGCATCCTCGAAAACTATCGAGCGTCCTCGAACACTTTCGAGCATCCTCGAAATCTTCGAGAGTCCTCGTACACTTTCGAGTGTCCTCGAAAACTATCGAGCGTCCTCGTACACTTTCGAGCGTCCTCGTACACTTTCGAGTGTCCTCGTACACTTTCGAGCGTCCTCGTACACTGTCGAGCATCGTCGAAAACTATCGAGCGTCCTCGTACACTTTCGAGCGTCCTCGAAAACTATCGAGCGTCTTCGTACACTTTCGAACATCCTCGAAAACTATCGAGCGTCCTCGAAATCAATCGAGCGCCCTCGTACACTTTCGAGCATCCTCGAAAACTATCGAGCGTCCTCGAACACTTTCGAGCATCCTCGAAATCAATCGAGCGTCCTCGAAACCTATCGAGCGTCCTCGAAAACTTTCGAGCATCCTCGAAAACTATCGAGCGTCCTCGTACACTTTCGAGCGTCCTCGAAAACTTTCGAGCGTCCTCGAAATCAGTCGAGCGTCCTCGAACACTTTCGAGCATCCTCGAAAACTATCGAGCGTCCTCGAAACCTATCGAGCGTCCTCGTACACTTTCGAGCGTCCTCGAAAACTATCGAGCGTCCTCGAAAACTATCGAGCGTCCTCGAAATCAGTCGAGCGTCCTCGAAAACTATCGAGCGTCTTCGTACACTTTCGAGCATCCTCGAAAACTATCGAGCGTCCTCGAAATCAATCGAGCGTCGGCGTACACTTTCGAGCATCCTCGAAATCAATCGAGCGTCCTCGAAATCAATCGAGCGTCCTCGAAAACTATCGAGGGTCCTCAAAAACTATCGAGCGTCCTCGAAAACTTTCGAGCGTCCTCGAAAACTATCGAGCGTCCTCGTACACTTTCGAGCGTCCTCGAAAACTATCGAGCGTCCTCGAAATCAGTCGAGCGTCCTCGAACACTTTCGAGCATCCTCGAGAACTTTCGAGCGTCCTCGAAAACTATCGAGCATCCTCGAAATCAGTCGAGCGTCCTCGAACACTTTCGAGCATCCTCGTACACTTTCGAGCATCGTCGAAAACTATCGAGCGTCCTCGTACACTTTCGAGCGTCCTCGTACACTTTCGAGCATCGTCGCAAACTATCGAGCGTCCTCGTACACTTTCGAGCGTCCTCGAAAACTATCGAGCGTCTTCGTACACTTTCGAGCATCCTTGAAAACTATCGAGCGTCCTCGAAATCAATCGAGCGTCCTCGTACACTTTCGAGCATCCTCGAAAACTATCGAGCGTCCTCGAAAACTATCGAGCGTCCTCGAAATCAATCGAGCGTCCTCGTACACTTTCGAGCATCCTCGAAAACTATCGAGCGTCCTCGAAATCAATCGAGCATCCTCGAAAACTATCGAGCGTCCTCGAAACCTATCGAGCGTCCTCGTACACTTTCGAGCGTCCTCGTACACTGTCGAGCATCGTCGAAAACTATCGAGCGTCCTCGTACACTTTCGAGCGTCCTCGAAAACTATCGAGCGTCCTCGAAATCAATCGAGCGTCCTCGTACACTTTCGAGCATCCTCGAAAACTTTCGACTGTCCTCGAAAACTATCGAGCGTCCTCGTACACTTTCAAGCGTCCTCGTACACTTTCGAGCGTCCTCGAAATCAATCGAGCGTCCTCGAAAACTATCGAGCGTCCTCGAAAACTATCGAGCGTCCTCG